TTTCCCTCGCCATGGAAAAGAGTCCTACTAAAGCCTCTTGCCAAGAAAAAGAACCCCACCTCGCCGAGTGACACTAGGCCGATTGCTCAGCTCTCCAAGATGTCAAAGGTCCTGGAGAGGTTGGTTCATGCCCAGCTCTTGACTCATCTTGAAGACAACGATCTTCTCTCTCCCTTTCAAGCAGGTTTCAGACGCAATCACAGCACCCACACAGCCCTTCTTGGCTTACTTGACAATGTCAGGAAAGCCATCGAAGAGAGAATGGTTACCATTATTCTTCTTTTTGACCTTTCTAAGGCCTTCGATACAATTCCTCATCAGCTATTAATAGCCAAACTTCGAGCTCTTAATTTCTCCGATCGCACGCTAAGCTGGTTTTTTTCATACCTAGCCGATCGCATCCAGGCAGTCGTGGATGAAGGAGTTAACCTCTCGGATTGGCTCACTGTTGCCATTGGGGTTCCTCAAGGCTCGATCCTCGGCCCGTTACTTTTCGCCATCTTCATCAATGATCTGCCGACTGCCCTACGTTTTGCTAGGATCATCCTTTATGCTGACGACTCGCAACTATACATCCACTGCAGCCCCCAAAACATCACTCAAGGCATCGCAAGGGCCCAAGCGGACGGACAGAATTTTGTGGACTGGGCTCATCGTAACGGTCTTTCGCCAAACCTAGCCAAGACTAAAGCAATCATCGTAGGTTCCCAAGCATACATCACTGCGCTCAAGAAAATCCCCTTCCCAAATATCCAAATCAATGGCACCTCCATCCCGTTCGAGAAGTCTGTCAAGATTCTAGGTCTTACCATCTCCGAAACACTTGAGTGGAAAGAGCACACAACCAACATCACGAAGAAAGTCTACGGTGCACTCCACTCTTTGCGCTTTCAAAAACGCTCTTTTCCTGAAGCTCTCCGTAAATCCTTAGTCGAGACTCTTATTTTCCCGCACTTCGATTACGCCTGCGTTACCTTCATTCATCTCGATAAAGAACGGAATCGTCAGCTTCAAAATGCTCAGAATGCATGTGTTCGGTTTGTCAAAGGCTATATCCCTTTCATTCCTACCCCTAACATCTTCCCTCACATAACTCACAATAGACTCAGCTTAAACTGGATATCACTTAGCTCCCGAAGACACCAAGTGCTTCTTACCCTTTTCTATTCGGTAAATTGCAGAAATCTTCCCTCGTATCTTACCACCTACCTCAAAGCTTTTAAGGATCTCTCAAATTACGATTGAAGAAATCCCCCCCAACCCTTTAGCTACCACTCAGCCCGCACTGAAGCTTGGGCTAAGTCTTTTGTCATGCTAGGTATGTGGCTTTGCAACAAACTCAGTATCACTCAATTCGACATCGATCGCATCCCTGAATTAAAGCAGTGGTTTAGAATGATATGTATGAATGCTGAATGGAGTGAATGGAAGCGTACAGCGTTAATCAAATCATGTACAAATACCGTAATTATTGATGAATGCATAGCGTCTCTCCCTATTCCAAACGAGTCAGCCTTTAATAACTCTAACAACTATCTACTTGTTAAGGGCAGAAAACTTGATCTACCATTTATCGATACTACCTCCGGGATAGAAATTGATGAACCCTGAAACTGTGGTATTAGCAATTAATATAATTAGCGCTATTAACTTTACCCCGATGCTTACTATAATTTTGTTTTCGATCAGCTACTTCGTACATTTAACCCTACAACCTAATTATATTTATATTCATTTTTCTACCTTGTTTGTTTTACCTTTAAGTCTTGCGTTGATACACTGCGATACAAATTGTTACCTAGTTTTATCAACATATCTGCGAAATATTATATTTAATCTTTTCATATTTTATCATTTGTTTTACCTCATACATGTAATTATATTATTTACTCCATGTTATTCACTATCCGCCAGACAGGGTACTACCCCAAGGTGGCAATAAATGTTCAATCAATCAATCAATCAATCTCTCTCTCTCTCTCTAAACCTAACGTTTGCTCTCTCCCTCTATCTTATTGCTGATTGTAGTCTTATCAGCGAGATATAATCAACACTACGTCTCGGCAACGGCGTTTGTTTGAACAACATTCTATATCGATCACGAGAGCTAGAGCCTTACATGAAACATCGAACCGAGCCAGGGCGATCGCGGCCCTTTTGCGTATCTTCCGAATAACATACAAATCCCTAGAGTTTATGTCAACGAACAATCGGCGAACCGCAGAAAAACCCCGTTACAAACTATTTCGGTCAAAACACTGTTAAACGTTTATCTTACTATTTGAATGAAAATTGTGATATTTCAATATTTATTTCAAATATCAGATTATCGATTTGTAATAGAATATAATAAGAATAATTCCAAAGCATATCTTCCTTTTACCAAACGATTGACTTGTTCCTAGTTTTATAACATGAGTATTAAAGGAATATCACTCTAGCCTATTTTTATTTATTTTCATTATCTTTAAAATAACCTGTATTAATTATGATAAATGGTATCTTTACTACTAAAATCTCAACTTAAAATCATATACAAATGTTTATTTGCCGTGACAAAACAGTATACATGTGATCAAATCTCAGACAAGAATATCAGGAATAAAATGATTCAACTTGGCATTTTTTACCTTTTTATATGGGAATACGCACTCAAATATAATGACACTACAAAATGACACGCAAATTTCAAATACACAGTCTTTAAAAGATACGCATACATACGAGGTGTGTTCAAAAAGTAAGGTGACTTTTCAAATTTCACGGGCAACGTACTTTCGATTATCGATTTTTTTTGTTTTGTTATGTTGGTACACTCTTCCCGAACATCAGTACCAAGTTTCAAGTGTATATCATTTTTTGTTTGGTTGTGAGAGGCGTAAAGGTTATACGTGGTTTTGCGTGGTCGGCGATTTCTTGCTATCGAAAAATATGGATCAAAGGATTTGCATCAAATTTTGTGTAAAAAATAAAATAAAGTGCTCCGAAACACTTGAAATGTTGACGGTGGCATACGGTGAAACTGTTCTGAGTAAGAAAAATGTTTACAAGTGGTATAAACTCTTCCAAGATGGCCGGGAAGATGCCAATGACGAGACTCGCTCTGGACGTCCCACGTCAACAACTGATGAAAACGTTCAAGCAGTGAAGAAATGTGTTCTGGAAAATCGTTGAATCACTATCAGAGAAGTTGCTGAGGATGTTGGTATATCACTTGGCTCGTGCCATGAAATTTTTTCTAACGTTTTGGGCATGAGAGGTGTGTCAGCGAAGTTTGTTCCGAAATTGCTAAATTTTGACCAAAAGAACCGTCGCATGAGTATCGCTCAAGAACTGTTGAACGACGTCAACGACGACCCAGATTTACTCAAAAGGGTCATAACTGGTGACGAATCATGGGTATATGGTTGTGATATCGAAACCAAAGTCTAATCGTCCCAATGGAAGAGCCCAGATGAGCCAAGACCGAAAAAAGCACGCCAAGTTCGATCAAATGTCAAAGTTTTGCTCACTGTTTTCTTTGATTACCATGGCGTGGTGCATCAGGAGTTCTTACCATATGGACGTACGGTCAATAAACAGTATTATCTTGAAGTTATGCACCGTTTGCGAGAAGCAATACGAAGAAAACGCCCAGAATTGTGGAAAAACAATTCATGGCTTTTGCATCACGATAATGCCCCTGCTCACTCATCTTTGCTTGTGAGAGATTTTTTGGCCAAAAACAACACCACAATCATGCCTCAGCCACCATATTCACCGGATTTGGCCCCATGTGACTTTTTCTTGTTCCCAAAACTAAAGAGACCTATGATAGGACGGAGATTTGCAACGATTGAAGAGATAAAGACTGCATCGCTGGAAGAACTCAAGGCTATACCGAAAAGTGCTTATGAGAAGTGCTTTGAGGATTGGAAAAACCGTTGGCATAAGTGTATTGTATCTGAGGGGGATTACTTTGAAGGGGACAACATAAATATTGATAAATAAATAAATATTTTTTCTTAAAAATAGAAAGTCACCTTACTTTTTGAACACACCTCGTACACCCATACACAAACTCGCTAATTTATTACTTCTTTCCTATTGATCTTTACTATTAATCTCTGTAAATCAAAAAATTAGACCAACCAACTTATCGGTACAATGACCTAGTATCGTCAATCAATAAATTCGTAGAAAAGAGGACAGGATGGTGAAACCCTTACTTCCCCTCACTTATTGACTTCGCTCGACCTTAAGCAAATCTCTTTAAATAAATTATAATATTTTAGTTAGAGATGAAATATATAACTTTCGACTTGAAATTACATCTCCGTTATCTGATCACATTTAAGCAAGAGTTGAAATTTTTGCTGCAAGATTTTGCGTTTACCCTCTGCAAGTGTGAGATAATCAGACACATGCTATATCATCAAGTTTTTCGGTGCGAATTTTCGTTCTGATAAAAGTAGTAAAAAGACGCTTTTTTTTCATTATGCATATTGAGCTATGATTTCGCTTTTGTCCTAGATTGAAATTGTTTACATTCGTTTTTGGTCTAGATCAACTTTAAGTCGCAAGTGTTTACGAAAGCCAACCTGTGGCTCGAGTACAAACTTTCCAAAAAGGCAGACACTTAAGTCGGCTTTACGTAAATGCGTGTATATCCATTACTGTCTATTTGCGATTTGACGAAAATATTTGTAGAAAAACAAGTATATTTTTCAACATATTTTTTACGTGAAATTGGACAATAGAATGGTAAAAAACTTTTTTTTTATTTTCGTCTAATAGTCGTTAAAATTATAGTCATGTTAAGAAAATGTACATCTCGAATTTATATTCTAAAATTTATTTCCGAATTTTTTAGTAATCATATTTATTATATTTATTTAGTAAAATAATATATTTACAATACTATATATAAATTAATATAAATTAATACATAAATTAATTTAAGTTTCGTCATTCTGTATGTAAATTATTATATAACTTAATTATATACTAATTAATTTCAGTTCCGTAATTCTGATGATGCTAAAAAGGCATTAGAGCAGTTAAATGGATTTGAATTAGCTGGCAGACCTATGAAAGTTGGTAATGTTACTGAACGTACTGATTTGGTTCAAGGTCCATCTTTACTAGATACTGATGACTTAGATCGCAGTGGTATTGATCTTGGTGCAACTGGTAGATTACAATTAATGTTCAAGTTGGCTGAAGGCACTGGATTAGAAATACCTCCAGCGGCAGCCACTGCATTAAATATAACACCTGTTATACAAACTCCTCAATCACAACAACAAACGGCTCCACCTATTGCGACACAATGTTTCATGCTTTCCAATATGTTTGATCCTCATAGGTACGTGTTGATTTGCTTTTTTTAAATTACATTAACTATATATTTAATTCATATGTATAAGATTTTAAATCCTTACAATAATTTTAACATCCTCACCAAATCAGTTAAAATGTAAAACTTTTTCAAAGCAAATGGGATAGATTTTATTTGGACTTCGAAAAAGCTTTCTTAGATAAAATATGTTATTAATTAAATTTATTGAAGTGCGTTTACAAATGTTAGTTATAAAATACCATTTTTAAGTATTCGTTTTCTGCTTAATATTTTTATTTTCTGTAGATACCAATTATCTCACTTATTTTTTTCATGAATAAGAAAGAAGGAATAAAAATTCATGAATTTGAATTAAAAAAACACTTTTCCATAAAGTTATGTTGAGTTCTGGATTCCAAAATATTGCTTTCTACACCAGATATCACTTTCTATATACTATAACTTTTTATACTATACGAGGGTGGTCCGATAAGTACTTAGCCTACAAAAGAAAAACGAAAATTTTGGAAAAGTGGCGTTTTATTTTTCAACATAGTCTCCTTTTAGTTCGATACACTTGGCCCAGCAATGCTCCAACTTCTTTAACCCGTCTGAAAAATACGTTTCCTCGAGGTCTGAAAAGTAGGCTTCCGTGGCAGTGATTACCTCCTCATTCGACTCAAATTTCTGCCCGGCGAGTGACTTTTTTAAGTTTTGAAACAAAAAGAAGTCGCACGGGGCTAAATCTGGAGAATACGGTGGATGGCGCAGCAGTTCGTAGCCTAATTCGACCAATTTGGCCATGGCGACGGCGTAGGTGTGAGCCGGTGCAATAATTCGGCATAGTACAGCCTTGTGACCGTTTTGCCCCTCTCCAGGTAGTCGATGTAGATCACACCTTGTGAATCCCAGAAAACGGTGGCCATCACCTTTCCGGCCGATGGGGTAGTCTTCGCCTTCTTCGGAGCACTTTTGCCGGGTAAAGTCCACTGTTTCGACTGTTCCTTGGTCTCTGGTGTATACCAGTGGATCCATGTTTCGTCGACTGTCACGAAACGACGGAGAAACTCCTTCGGATTGCGCTGAAACAGCGTCAGACATTGCTCTGAAGTTGTCTCACGGTTGCGCTTGTTGTCCGGAGTGAGCAAACGCGGCACCCATCGCGCCGACAGCTTTCTCATGCCCAAAATTTCATGCAGGACATGACCCACACGGTCTTTTGAGATGCCTACGATCTTAGCTATCTGGCGCACCTTCAATCGTCGATCTGCCAATACGAGATCGTGAATTTTTGTCACGTTATCCTCCGTGGTAGCCGTTTTCGGAGCACCTGGACGTGGCTCTTCAAAAATCGACGTGCGACCACGTTGAAACTCGTTAAACCAATTTTTGACGGTCGCCATCGAAGGAGAAGAGTCACCGTACACAGCATCCAAGCGCTCGTTGATTTCGCTGCGCGATTTCTCTTCCAAAAACAAGAATCGAATCACCGACCGACACTGCTCTTTTTCCATTTTTCAAAAATCAACGGACACACTCTCTTTCACACGCTCTCAAAAATAAACTACAACTCCGATCCGGCTGAAATCTTGACAGTAACCATCGAGAAGGTTGTGCTACGTGATAGAATATTTCTTTTGCGAGAGTGGCGCCATCGGGCGGTGAGGCTAAGTACTAATCGGACCACCCTCGTATGTGTAGGGATGTATGCGTGTCTGCAACTCTTGCATACCTGTCTTCTGCTTCTGTCTGTTCAGACAAGACATATTTTATTAATGAGAGTATTATGTATGAGTCAAAGGTATGCTGGGGTCCTAACGAGTTAGCGTATTGCATGGCGTGAGTTTATAGTATTCCAGGCCCTATCGAGCAAGCGTTTAGCTTGGAGAGATAAGGAAGATGCTAGTAGTATAGCACTATATAGTTGCGTTGACGTAACGTGGTCTACTATATAGCATGCAGTAGATCGGGTGGTCCTAATAAATTAGCGACACTGGGTTGGAAATGTTGAAAGCATGCATAGTCTCAGTAGCGCTACCTTTTCTCATTGTAATGTAATAAATGAAATAATGTAATCAGTTAAATAATAATACAATTTTATGTACATTTAGTATCAAATCTTAGAGAGGTAAAAGTGTACATAGGTAGTATAGAAACAGAGACAATCGTATTCGTAAATTTGATTTGTATTTATTGATATTTTATATAATAATGTAGTATACATTTTACATTATATGATTTTGTTTTTTAACTAGTCATTTCATTGTCATTTCATTATATACTACATTAATTTTTTCACATCTCCACTGACCGTGTTATATTATACAAATCGATCATGAAAAATTAAGCATAATGAGCAGTATCATGAGGATACTTAAGCATTGATTCATTTTCTTTACCATAGTAGCAGCTTTGAAAATTAGCGTACATGTCATGTAGCATAGCATACTGATTTTGTTCAATATTTAGATTAAGATTTTCATATGGATAATATTGTAACTTAAGAAATAACTTTACATTACTAATGTTGCTATGATCAAAATTAGTAGCATTAACCGTCACTAAATTTTTTCATTTAGTCTGACAAGGTAGTATAAATAAGCAAGGTTTTTCTAGCTGATTAGATGTTTTGACACTCTAAACATGCTTCGAATTAAAAGGTAATTTTGGATACTCATACAGTTTCCACATCCGATAACTCATTGTTATTGCTTTATCACGTCCAAAATGGTATAGTAATTTGATTTTTTCTTTGTCGACCATTAATACATAAGGCATTAATTATTTAATCTTAGTCAAATTAATTTCAAATTTTTTCAAAGTGGGAGGAGTATTAACGGTATAATTACGAGGTCTGTTCAAAAAGTATCGCGAATTTTGAATTTCCGCGGGCTATGTAAATTTAATTTTTGATTTTTTTGTAGCGTCATGTTGGTACTCATGTCCCTTACTTATGCTGACAAGGTCGGCCATTTTGAATGTTTAGTTAATTTTCAACAGCTGTTTTGCTTGGATGTATTTTGGCTCGTCTTAGATTTTTGCCTATTCTAAAAAATGGATCGAAGAATCTGTATCAAATTTTGTGTGAAAAACAAAATAAAGTGCGCGGACGTATTCCGAATGTTGACTGTGGCATATGGTGAAGCTACCTTAGACTAAAGCAACGTTTATCGGTGGTACAAAATGTTCTCGGAGGACCGAAAAGATGTGAACGACGAACAACGTGCAGAACGCCCGAGCATGTCAACAACTGACGAAAACACTGATAAAGTGAAGAAAATGGTATTGGCCAATCGTCATATCATCGTTAGAGAAGTTTCTGAGGATCTTAACATATCGATTGGCTCATGCCATTCGATTTTAACCAATGATTTGGGCATAAGTCGAGTCGCCGCGAAATTCGTGCCAAAACTACTCAATTTCGGCCAAAAATAGCATCGCGTTAACATTGCTCAAGAGATGTTGGACTCGGTCCGTGATGACCCAAATGTGCTCCAGAGGATTATAGCTGGTGATGAATCATGGGTTTATGGTCATGATATGGAAACTAAAGCTCAATCATCCCAATAGAAACTGCCGCACGAGCCAAGACCGAAAAAAGCGCGCCAAGTTCGGTCGAACGTGAAGTTTTTGCTCACAGTTTTCTTCAGTTACAGGGGTGTGGTGTATCATGAGTTCTTGCCACACGGTAGTACGGTCAATAAGCAATATTACCTGCAAGTTATGCGCAATTCGCGCGAAGCAATCCGCCAGAAACGTCCGGATTTGTGGAAGAATAAAAACTGGCTTTTGCACCATGATAACCTCCGTGCTCACACATTGTTGCTTGTACGCGAATATTTCGCCACCGTATTATCCAGACCTGGCCCCCTGTTACTTTTTCCTGTTTCCAAAATTAAAGAGGTCCATGAAAGGACGACGCTACGCCACGATTGAGGAGATAAAGATGGCATCGAAGGAGGAGCTAAGCAAGATCACAAAAAATGATTTTTTTAAGTGCTTCGAGGATTGAAAAAAACGTTGGCACAAGTGCATTATATCTGAGGGGGATTACTTTGAAGGAGATAAAATACATATTCATGAATAAATAAATAATTATTGAAAACATACAAAGTTTGCGATACTTTTTGAACAGATATCGTATTCCAACATATAAGTTACTAGAACATCACAGCGCGCTTCGCGCGCTCAAGGCAAACTGCAGTACATGTTAAATGTTGATAATGGTCAAGTAAGAATTGAAATTATTGAAACGTGAAGAGAAATCATTATTGATACAATTCTGTATAAACATAATTTTTAACAATCGAAGTTTGTCTTTGATTTCCTAGATAAATTGTCAATGAATCCCATGATCTTACTCTAGACATCGCTACGTAAAGTTGAACGTGATTAAAAACATCCCGTCTAAGATCAATACCAATTTTTTCTAAAGTTTGACCTTGAGATTTATTAATAGTTATAGCAAAAGCCAACTTTATTGGAAACTGTCGTCTTTTAAAAGTAAACGGGTATTTATTTTCGCAGTATAATGTAATTCTATTGAGAAATACTATGTTATTGCGTTGGTCTCCTGTTAATATCTTGCATTTTAATAAATGATTAGAAAAATCAAGTACTTGTAATCGTGTTCATTGCACAATCCATCACTGAGACTAATATTTCTGATTAACATGACTATACAAAATTTTCTTAAACGTAATTTATGAGGAGGAAAGTTAGATGGATTTAATGTATTAAGATATTCTTGTAGCAAAACTTCTTCTAGATTACCATTATCACAATTTTCTGTACTGTCTATGCTTGTGTATATGTGTTCGCCACTTTTATATAATAAATCTGTAATTTTATTATTCATTTCATCTACATCAGCATTTCTGGCAGATAAAATTGCACAATGACTAATCTCATCAAATTTTTTGTCTTTTATTAAGTTTCCAAAAATGTTTTGAACAATACATTCATCTGCAGGTAGAATACAGTTCGGTGGAAGCTGTATGTTATTATCTTGATCATTTACTGTCCCA